AGCTTAAACTATAACTCTGCAGGCACAGGGTTGCTGGTGCCTCCCTCACTCCTATTTCCTTCTCGTCCATTTGGCCCAAGATGCTCAGAGCAAAGATGGGGGCAACATGTTAGTTAAATGTGAACGGCTGAGAAGAGCCAAGATCTCCTAGGGTCCCAGCGTGGCTTCCATTGCCTTGCACGTACGAGCTGTGCAAGGCACCCAGCCTATCCAGAGCACTTGTCTTGTGTCTTGATGTGGCGAGAAATGATGGTGCTTCAACAAAGAGCTTCCCCCGGCCTTCTTCCCTACCGTGGGTCTCCTGCTCAAAAAACAAAAAAGGAGGGCTCTAAAAAAACACCCCTAAAAAGAGAAGGCACCTTGTTCTGCGTCCGCTTGATATGGTTGTGCCTTGTGCACTCAGGAGGATTTATCTGGCTCGACCACAGATGTGGAGCGTCATCGTGGGAATATCAACCTTTCAGCAAGGTCTCAAAGTCCAAGGAAACGGCTGTACAAAAAGCCGTGTGAGTCAAGCTCCAAGGACAGAGACCACTCTTCAAGCTCATGTAGCTGCTCCCTGGTACTTAGCTGCTTTGAATGAGCAAACCCCACAGAAAAGAAATGAAATTCGAAGATCTCTTGCTGGACATTGGTGGCTTTGGCCGATTCCAGATCTTGATTTTGCTTCTCCTCTGCTTCCCAAGAATCAATCTTCCCATGCATTTCCTGCTGCACAATTTTCTCGCTGCTACTCCCTCTCATCACTGTGCAATTCCACACCAAGAGGCATTTGTGAACTTCACCACGGAGGAGCTTCTACTCATCAGCATCCCCCGGGAGCCTGATGGCACCTTCAGGTCCTGTGAGATGTTCTCGCAGCCTCAGTTTTACCTCCTGCTCAATTCCTCTCTGCAACCAGAAAATGACTCGATTATTGAGCATTGCAAGCACGGATGGGTCTATGACCACTCGCAGTTTGCCTCCACCATAGCCACCCAGGTAATCCCTTGCCTTTGATCTGGGTGAAAATGAAATTAGCTCATTGTTTTGAGGAGCAGATGGAGAGCTCTCTCCTAAGCGCACCAAATGAGAGGGGAATCTTTGTATTTTAATAATTGTTTGAAATTACGTGTTTAGAGAGGATGACTTGGGATGGGGAAGCTCTCTGAAGATGAGAATTAGAACCCAATATTTCTCATTATGAGCATCTCAGTTTTTCCAGGTGGAGAGATAGTGAGACGAGATCATGGGGTTTTTGTTTTGGGTCACACAGCATTTGCACTGTAAGGATTTCATGTGAGCACGAGTGGCCTTTCTGATTTTCCAGACACTTTTGTAACTCCTATTCCCTTGGCTGCACTCTTCACCTCAGATTTCTGTGCCTTTCTTCTCAGAAAACAGGTACAGGGAATCCCAGCAGTAGGTGCTCATCAAGCCTATAGGGCGCTGTGTGTGGAGCCAGAGCAGGGTGAGGGCTTTGCCACATCAGGACCCCAACACATGCTCTCCTCGTCTTGGAAGATTTCACAGGATTAGGAGACTGTCTGTCCAGTTATAGGAGGTTCCTCACCAAAAAACACACTCCCTCTGAGACCCAGCACGCTGCCTGGTTGTAACCTTGAGCCTGCCCCAGGCGCCCGCGGGTCAAACGTTAACCACGAGCCAGGGCTGTGTGACAGCCATCCCTCCGGGAGTTAATACTTTACCTGCAGGTTGTGATTTTCCTTCCACTGAAGGTGGCCCAACACACAGGGGATCTGGGGAAAAGAAGGGACAATTCAGGCAAAGCGGGGTTGGAAATACCAACACACAGGGGATCTGGGGAAAAGGGACAATTCAGGCAAAGTGGGGCTGGAAATAAGACCAGGACTGCTACTGCTTCGAGATATTTTCCAAGCCCAAACCTTAAATTCGAGCTGGTGCCTCCTCTCCACGATCTGACTATCTGTATCACATTTCTGTGCCATATCAAGGAGAAGGGGCAAAGTGTCCTTGGGGGAGAAGGCTCAAATTCTGTCTGGCTTTGTCACAGACACCATGAGGCTGGTGGATGATTAGCATAAGTGCTGCTGGGTTATGCACACACAGAAAATTAACTTCACCGGGGAGGATGGCAATGATTAACAACATTTGCGCCTCCAAGAGTAAGATGATGCTCATTAATTTATTGAAGGAATATGTCTAGACCACTCAGGGGAAAAAAAAAATGATAGGTGCATATTGGGAAGCACAGACCATTTGGTCTGAGCACCCCTCCGCCCTCCTCCTCCTCAGCACAGAGCTTCAGAGCGGTCACGGTGGGGCTAAGTAACTGGGAGGCTTCTGAGTTTTGTGGGCTTTGGCAGTGTCCTATGCACAGTTTAGTTTGGGGTCCTACCTCTCGCTCAGTCAAGCCTGGCAGATATAAGCTGCAAGACACCACAGCTGACTGCTCAGGGAAGGGGTAGGAGAAGGTGGCAGAGGCTGGGCTGGGCACTCGGGGTTTATTTGGCCTCTGTTTCAGTGGGACCTGGTGTGTGAGCAGCGTGGAATGAACCAGGCGACTGCAACGTTCTTCTTCATCGGTGTCACGGTGGGGGCTGTGATCTTTGGACACCTTTCGGACAGGTTTGACATTTTTCATGCTATTCCCCTTCCTCCCTCCACAGCTCTGGGCTTCAGTTTTGTGATAAAAACTTCACAAACTGGCAGCCTGCAGAGGATAACTGGAGAGGCAGGGAAAGAAAAAACATTTCTGAAGCAAGAATTGAGCCCCTGCAGTGAAAACCAGACCGAAGTGTTACTGAGAAGCTACACAGAGACTGTGTTAGGTGCAGTCCCTACCTGCTCTGTGGAGTGGCCTGTTGGGAGGCCACCAGCAAAGCAACTCTGGCCCCAGCTGGAGTAATCTGCACTGCAGTGACCACACGGTTCTGGTCAACAAACCACCCCAAAATCCACTGTCCTCTTTGAGGAAGACTTCAAAAAAGGAAACCTGTCTGAAACAGAGAAAGCTAGTTAAAGCAAACCCAAAACAACCCACCAAAAGAGTTCAGTCTTTGAAAGTTATATGGAAATTGGTTTAGGACACCCAAACAAGGGGCCTGGGGTAAATGCATGCCACATCTGAGAAAGAGTCTCAAGAAAGCAAATACTGGCTCTGTCGTTCCTAGAGAGGCAGAGACAAGAAAGCTTTAAGAGTCCAGGAAGTTACAGGCAGGGTGGCATTCCTCTGGAAAGAGCTCAGGAATTCCCAGGAGGAAAGTGCGAATGATTCCCATTGGTCTTGTTGAATGTTAAAATGTGACAGCATAAGCCAAAAGAGTCAAACAACTCAGAAAGGGCAGAAAACAAAAATTGGGGTTTTTGTTTTGTTTGTGGGTTTTTCTTATATTGCACCCCAGCAACTTAGTGCTGTTGCATCCATGTCTCTGCATCTATCAACACTCTTGTACAAGTACCTGAGGCAGCTGGCTGGTTTCCAAACTCTGCACCTCAGTGCAAATCTGAAAAGGTTCTCGGCTGGAGGAAAAGAAATTCAGAGCCAGGAAAAGCAGCAGGATAAAATAAGGCAGAGGAGCATGTCTCTGCTAGAGCCAAAGGTACCGTACCACCTCCAGAAGCTAAGCAGACTCCTCCACTATTTGCTTATGCACATCTGAACTCTAAATCTTAACCTGATTTTTACTCATTTTATCAAGTATCAGTGCCAGATCTATGAGACCTCAGATCTCCCCTAAGGCCTCTTATAAGTTGATGTCCCACTTGCCACCTTCCTTTTCTCTCATGGCACGAAGAGGTCCCACTTCATTGAGACAAAAGTAATTTAGATACTTCATCCTTTGGTTCTCTAGTGCCCAGGTCTGAAAACCCACATGGCTTTTTGTTACAGTTCATCTTGCTATTTGTTCTAAACCGCTTCTACAAACACATGCATTATCATTTTATTTATTGCTGTGCTTCTGTGATTTATCGTTTTATTCTATTTTTTTTACATTTAATCTTTCAGTAGCTGGGCTCTTCCCTCCCTCTCTTCGAAGGTGATTTCAACCCCACCACTTGCTGCAGCCTTCCTGTAGCCGGCAGTTCAGTTTTGCTGCCTTCCCTGTTTTCCCTACCAGGTGGCTGCATTTGCTGAGACACTCTGGTGATGAATCCATAAATCGCTGTCCTGCATCCTGCAGGGAATCCAATGTTTGACATGCTCCTTAGGAAAAACTCTTAAAAAAATAAATGTGCTTGTTTCTGTTGGGAGCCAGATACGGCATTGGTGGGTCTGGTCACTGGGTGCTCGCTCATCATTTGGCCCCGGGGGGAGCCACAACGGGGCTCCCGTTCCCGACGCTGCTCCGGGGCCGGTCCCGGTGACGCGGGCCGTGCTCGCGGCAGGTACGGCCGGAAAGCTCTGCTGCTGCTGTCGCTGCTGGGCTCGCTGGCGTTCGGGATGCTGAGCGCCGCCTCCGTCTCCTACGCCATGCTGGCCGCCACGCGGACGCTCACCGGCGCGGCCCTCAGCGGCGTCTCCCTCATCGTGCTGCCCCTGGGTGCGTACGCGGCTCGCGGGGCCTCCACCCCTTCCCAGACCCCCTTTTCAGTCTAAACAACACGAAATCCACTGTAATAACCACCTAATCTCAGTTAAGGATCATCAGTAATACAATAAAACACAGACAAAAGTGCTTACCCCTTTCCTCCGATGCGGCCTCCTCACCCTTCAAGCACCCCTAGGGCAACGCGTTAGCGTGTCCGTGTCTTCAGCGGGAGGAGGATGGTGCCGCTCAAGGGGTTTTTCGCCCTTCCCAGCCTTGGCTTTGCTTGGGCTTGGTTTTTGTAGGCTCCAAAGCCGTGTGTCTGCTCCGCGTGTTTTTCAAAAGGAAGGGAAAAGCACCACAAAAATCAAAGCAAAGCCAAACCTAAGGGGAAGAAAAAAAAGTAACAATATAACTAAAATAAAATCTTCTGGCTTTACATACCTATGGAATCTGGGTAGCTTCCATAGGTAAGTCAGTTATATCTTAATATATTTGTTTAACCTGCATAGCAGGTGGGCAGAGAAACTGTGCAGGCAAGATATAATTAGAGGGGAAATGGATGAGTCTGATGGAGAAAATCATTTGGACGTTATTGCATGGAATTTTAAAAGTATCACATAAGATGTTTTCAGCACTGTGATGCTTATTATTTTGTCCAGTATTTCTTCTTTTAAGGCTGTATTTTAGTCGCTTACAACTTCGCCAGCGGCTCCCTTTTTTGATGGTTTTTAAATGTGGCAAACATCGGCCAAGCAGTGGAAGCCTCTGAGAGGAAAAAAACAGAAAGACCCAACAAATTGCCTCCCTTTGCCCTGTGACAAAGCCCTGCAGGCCTTTTCCTGGGTGTCCCGGCTGAGCGTCGCGGCCCTCTTGCAGGGATGGAGTGGGTGGACGTGGAGCATCGCACCCTCACCGGGATCCTCACCAGCATCTTCTGGAGCATCGGGAACATCCTGCTGGCCATGGCCGCGTACCTGGTGCGGGACTGGCGCTGGCTTCTGGTGGCCGTGACCGGGCCCTGTCTCCTGAGCATCGTCTGCCTGTGGTGAGTCGGTCAAACGCGCCCGCGGCAGGAGCAGGGTGTGATTTTCCAGGTATTTTCCAGCTCTGGAAAACTGGAGTGGCTCAGGTTTCATCTTCCTGACAACTAAATTCCATTCACTTTGGGGAACTTTCTTTTTTTTTTTCCCCCCAAGGACAACCAACTATACTCTAACTATATACTATAACATAACTATAAAAACTGAATCTTGGGAAATATTGCACTTCGTAGGCACATTTGGGCCCGTTCCTTTCCATGGCAGCTGTGGGTTTTTTCTCTTTTGTTTATGTTAACGTCTTCCACGGAGACCAATTATCCCAGTAGTTATACTGCAGTCTGATCAGTATTTAGGTACCCAAAAGGGCAGTGATTGCAGCACAATTAAAACTCCCTGAAGTACAGAGTCAAAATCTAATTTAGCCCATTCTACAAATATTGTTGACAGTACGTTAAAATTTGATGGAGATATCAGGCAATCACAGGACATAATATTATATCCTGGAGATGATGACAATGGGTGCAAAATGCCATCTTTCCTCCTTTGTAATCACCAACTGGATTAAATAGCAAGCTCCTGTGACTGAAAACTCTGCAGAAGTCCCCTATGGCAAATGACAGATTTTGACAAGCGTATGGCTTTGGCAGAAACTTTGCCCACATATTCCTTCAAGGCTTTAAGTTCCCCATCTGTTTTCACCTGGAAACTGCAAAGCAGTGACCAGAGGAGCAGCAGCAGCAGCTCAGAGGATGAGTGTGGCCTCCACGCTCCTCCCTGCCTGGAAAGCAGCAGATTTTCCCTTCTCTCTGGGGACAGACTCGGCTGGTAGGAGGTTCATGTGGGCTGCTCTAACAAGACACCCGTGGGGTATCCCCACTGCGGCCTCTGTGGGGCTCAGCACCCCGTGGACACCCACGCACCCCTCCAGGCTGGCTGCACCGCGTATGTACGCGTGTGTGTTTGTGTGTGCATTTATAATATAAGTTGTTGTTGTTTCCCCCACACAGAAGACCCGCTCTCTTTGGCCAGGGCTGTGTGTGTGGGCTGGACAACACTCAGTGCCAACGGGTTGCTGCCTTCTCTCCCCATACCAGGTGGGTCCCGGAGTCGGCCCGCTGGCTCATAGCCAACGGCAACGTGAAACAGGCTCGCAGGCACCTGCTTCGATGTGCGAGGGTGAACGGAAGGAAAGACTTCACCATCTCGACAGAGGTGAGAGCCTGAAGACCCAGACACACATCTTTCTTCTCCCATTTTCTCTATTTTACTTCCCTGATACCCAAAGCCACTCGCAACCATCCCTAAAGAGAAGGCATCAGCTTGGCCAGAGCTCCCCCTGCACTAGAAGAGCATTTCTCCATTTCCTGCTGCCATGATGAGCCTCACTGCACTGGATGCTGGCCTGAACATCCAGCAAGAGAGAAGCACAGCCCAGAAAAACAAGGCAGAGGCCTCACCCCTGTAACAGAGGGCAGGACGTGCAGGCTCGTGAGCAGCTTGTGCTTTTGTCCTGGGATACATCATCAGGTGGTCAATGTGATCCTACCAGGATGTGACAAAAGTGGCAGGGAGCCACGCGGGTAAGAGTGGAACTGGCCACGCTCGACTCCGCTAATGCCATGGTCAGTGTTGTGAGGAGATCGCTCTCGCTGTGTGGGGTATTTGGGGTAGGAGAAGAGATGGGGCTAGGAGAAGAGGGACAGGTCTAAAAAAAAAAAAAAAAGAGAGAATCTATAAAAACACACAAGACGACTTGCCTCTGAAAATGTCTGTCCAGAGAATTGCAATGGGAGTGTGCGGAAAATAAACAAATAAATAAATAAATAAGACAGTGTTGGAGCAGGGAAGGCCAGGAGCCCGAGCCTGCCCCGGGCTCCACATCCAGACCCTACATGTGCAGCAGCTGAACCACTTCCTTCTTCTTTCCACCTTTCTCAGGCCCTCAAGAGGATGACCACGGAGAAGTCAGGGCACAGCTACTCCTACCTCAGCCTGTTCAGGACACCGGTCCTGCGCAAGATCTCTCTCTGCTCTGGCGCGGTGTGGTAAGCAGGGTCGCTCCCTGTGAGGGATCTGTCCTCCCTTCCCTGGCTCCATTTACCTAATTCTCATCTCCACACTCTCCTCGCAGGTTTGGTGTTGCCTTCTCTTACTATGGCATGAGCATGAACCTAACTGGTTTTGGGCTCAACATGTATCTCTCCCAATTTGTTTTTGGCATCATTGAGATCCCAGCCAAGCTGATCATGTACGTGCTGGTGAACCGAGTTGGACGGCGGCAGAGTCAGGCGTGGACCCTCATACTGACCGGACTGTGCATAGGAGCCAACATCATCATCCCCAAGTGTGAGAGCCTTGTCTGTTGACTTGCTAAAAAAGGGGACCTCCATTCAGTGCACTGCTAGAGGAGAAAGGGAGTTCTTCCTCATAGGCAACTCTCTACGGAGATACCTCCTACTGACGAGGGCAACGGGGGGACAAGGTTGCTCATGTGGGCCAGCCCAAATGCCTGGTGGCAACAGTCTCCAGTCACTGCAAGGCAGGCTAGCCAGGGTTTAGCGATTCAGTGCCCATCTTATAGACAGCGTCCTGGGGAAGACGTTGGGAGCCCTCCTTTCACCAGTTCAGCTCCCACTCGGCTAATAGTTTGCCACTAGATTTATTCCCCCAGGCTCCAGTGGCAGCAGCTCCCTACTTTGCCTTTAGGACCTCGGAATCTTCTCCCCTTCCACATGAGGCCACATAAGCCTCTTTTTAGGGGCTGCTTTTTGACCGCTGCCCTAAGTGTCTTCTCCTCCCTCCCAGCTTTCACCTCCCTGCGCTCCGTAGTAGCCATCATGGGCAAAGGCTTCTCTGAAGCTGCATTCACTACTGTCTTCTTGTACACCTCCGAGCTCTACCCCACCGTACTGAGGTAAGAGACGCTGCTCGCCCCAGCCCACAGCCAGACCCACTTAAGGGCAGATGTACTGAAAGGGTGAAAAGAAGACAGCTCATGTAGAAGATCTTCAGGTAATGGTGATGCTTTAGCTGGAGCATGGTCTGGGATATCGCTGAGGCTCGTGGAGGGAATTACCTTTCACTAGGCTGTTGTAGGCACAGAACGATGCATATTTAAAGCACAGTAGGCACATTGCTCCGCTACTTTTCTTCTCGGATAGGTTGGTATTCTTTCCAACACTGAAAGATGTTGACAGGTAAAGGCAAAAACACGCGCTCTTTTTGCCATACATTTTCTGCATGTGCACAAGCAGGTCCTGCAATCCCATTTCAAGTGCAGAATGCCATTCTGTTACTGCAAATTAATGACTGGAGTAGGTCCCAGGATTTATTTTTGGGCATCTCTCCGAGTTCTCCTCAGTTATAGCTACAGCAGGACCAAGGATGCTCACAGGAGTCTCCATGCTGGCTGCCTGCCTGGAAGCACCTAAAAGACAGAGGGACATAAGTTTAGCCTCAGCACACGAGGATGTACTAGGGGACAGACAGAAAATACTCATGAGGTTTTAGGCATTGAAAGTCGAGATCATCTCAGAGTAGACATTTTTAGTGCAGAACTTCAGCTTCTGCACAAACAGAGCAAATCTGTTTCGCAGAGCAGATATTCTTGCTATTTGGGAAGTATGATTCTGTGATGGGAAAAAAAAAGCCTAGAAAAAAAAATCGAGCAAAAGAAAAGCCTGGAGGGGGGAAGCCTCAGTACGTATCGAAATGTAGGAGCAGAGGGCCCCGGATCTGGCACGAAAGCAGCAGCCTCTCCCTTTGCAGGCAGAGCGGGATGGGCTACACGTCCTTCGTGGCCCGCCTGGGCGGCGCGCTGGCCCCGCTCCTGCTCCTGCTG